TTTAATTATAGTCCTTTCTGATCAAAGACTCCTTGCTTGTCTTGGCATCTTCAGTTCTCCTGTCAGTATGGACTAAAGTGCAGAAATGTACACTGTGTACACTGTGACTTCACATAATTACATATTATGGAGAAGAGGGAGCATCTCTAACTAGGCTAAAATATCTGGCATTGGTCCTATAGCAAGTACTATATGCTATGCCTCACAGACCACTATATCTTCCATTTCTGGATGTTTAATCATTGTCTGTGCTGAAAAAGGTAGAAATTATAATAATCTGTACTGAGAAATAGCTCACTTGAGAAAGTTCAGGAGAAATTTTCTGTTCTAGGAAATTAAAGCACGCATCTTGTGCCATAAACTTTGAGCATTCTTTCACTCTATCACTTTGCTCTATGAAAAGGGTTTCAGAATTAGATAAACCATTGAACCTGATTCAGAAAATGTTACCGGCTAAAACGCTATCAATTTCAACAGTCATTGTGCTCTTCCTCCTAGGGGCAAACATTATTCCCTTCGCTACTGGTCACTAAAAGAGGAAGAATTAGCATGGGGACAGGTGGAAAAGAGAGATCATTGCTGGAATCTTAGATGATCACTTCTGCATCAACATCAAGGTAAGCAGAGGAGACTTTGGCCATTGCTATTCATATCTGCAGCTACCATTTGAAAAATATAAAGAAACATTAATTATATATTCTCTTTATTACTCTGGTAAATATCATGTTGTGAAATTATACAGTTTTATAATACATACCCGTTCTTACCCAGGAAGATTTCATCAAGTGAGATGTATTCAGTTGAGGGTAATAAACAGCTGGGAAAAAAACAAACAAATGAGAAAAGGGGTAAAGAAATACATATAAAAATAAGACCAGAGAGGCAACAAACTAGAATCAAGAGAGCATTTTATAATTCATAGTAAAACAGTAAAATAACTTGGCCACAGTCCTAGGGAAAATCAATTGACCAAGATAATAATTACTGCCAGTTTTATGTTGTGACCGTTAAACTAAATTAATTAAAATCCCACAGAGCTATTATATGCTTTCATATAGGGAAGACTGGAGAGGGAAAGAAATTGTATAAAATTAAGAAGTTGCATATTTTATTTACAGAATAGCTAAGCTTCCTGTCTAGATAAATACAGTGGCTTCTTGAACATATTATTTTCTGGAATCTGATATGTTGATGTATAAACCTGTATTAAGCAACAATAGCATCTGGTTCAAAATGTAAAATTCTATGATGAAATAATGTATTCTTTATTAATTTTTGTCTAAAATTAATCTCACTACTTTACTTCTCTTCCCAGATGAAACCCTAACCCTGACCCAGAATTAGATAAGGCCAGGACACAAACTAGATTTAATTTAATTGATATGCAATTAAAAGTAGTTAAATAAAGTTTGTGATTTTTATCATGGTCAACAACTAGTTTACAACTAAAATAAAGCAGAAGAACAAGATAATATAATAAACTCTAAAAAGGTATCTCACAGTCCCCAAGTGGCATATCACACATATAGAGGTGCAAAATTTAGCACTCTAATATCAAGATGTAGATCAGCTAATAGATAACGTAGTCAGGCTCCCAGCCTGGAATTCTCTGGAGAGCAGGATGAATCAGCTAAGCAACTCCAGTCCCTATAAAATGAGCAACAGTATAATATATGACTCAAAGTTTCCACCAGCACTTTTACTAAAAGACAAGGCATTGCAGAGTAGGTCTGTTGTGGACTACCCCAAATAGCATTGCAGAAGGTAGAACACTGACCTTTGCCAAAAGTAAATCTGGCAATTTTTAAAACTGTGACATTAGCAAGATAGTGGGCTTATAGAAACCTAATTTTAGAACTTCATGGTTTAGGATACTGGGACTAAAATGTGACCAACTTAGCAATCAATATCCCAGACATTTTTATTTATTCAATTTATCTGATTCAGGCAACACCCCATTCCAAATTGACTTTGGGCAGCTCACAAAATAGAAATCCAAAATGAAAACACACAAGACATATCCAACAAGAGGCTCCACCCACTTTAACCCAAGGCATGGGAGAACAGCCCCGGTCTTCAAGGCCTTCCAGAACACCAAGAGGATGGGAGCTCAGGAGATAGTTAATTCTAGAGGGCAGAGGCCACAACAGAGAAGACATACTTCCCAGGTCCTGACAGATGACACTGTTTAATTGAAGGGACCCAGAGTCTGCCAACTCTGCTGGCTCATACCAGTCAGGCAGAAACCATGGGAGATAGATGGTCCTTCTAATAACCTGACCCTATTCCATATAGTCTGCTAAGTCTTTTAGTATTTCTGAAACAAGGAAGAAAGTTATTCAGAAAGAAAGTCAAGTAGTGAGGCTTCTCGATCCAACTTTTAGCCAGCTGGATTTGAAAAGACCTACTGGAAAAAAAATAACTTCAGCCATAGATTGAGAACTTATCATGCTCTGGCCTTCAGAGACATTAGCCCCATGTCAAGACAAAGAGCTACATTTCTGTGCAGCTGGGGACAGCCAACAGAGATTTGACAAACTTTGTGAAAATTCCAGTACAATCCATTTCTTTAATGTGCAGATTTGCACACCATAAAGAAGCTGAGGAGAGGCATTCATTTTGTGATTTCATCAAGATAACATAATGAGCAACTCAAGCTGCACCCCTTACATACACACGTGATGTTGTAAGGCATGGGCAAAAGAGGCAAACTATGCATTGTGATACATGTTTCATCACTTTCTCCCACCCCTTGTGGACACCCATGAGGGATAGCTTTTGCCAACCTAGAGCCAGTCAATTTTGCCATGTTCCATCTGGACTGTGGCTTCCTGTCCTGTGTATAGGTTTCACATGACATAATCAGATGTCCTATTTTTCTAAGAGAAATATTTCCCATTCCACAGCTCGACCTGGTTGACACAACCAAAGATCTTTCTAAGATCAACGAAGCACATATTGATTTCTTTTCAGTGTTCTTTAGCTTTCTCAATTATCCAGAGCACATTAGCAGTAATGTCCCTTGTTCCTCAGTCTTTTTTAAAACCAGCTTGAACATCTGACACAGAAGGGTATGGCCTATCAGATTTCTTCATGCCCCTAATCACCAGGGGGTGAAAAACAGTTCATTTCCCCATACATTTAGAAATTTCCCCTTTCTATTCCATTAAACAATGCAATTTTATTGCATCCGCAGACAGCCACCCCACAGCCCTGTTTTGGGTGACACAAGCCCTCTTGGGTAAAGGGGGCTTGGGAAACCTTCAGAGACATGCGGAGGAATTTGCTCAGCATCTATCAGACAAAGTCACTAAGAGTCACTTGCAATTGGACACCAGGCTTGTTGCAGGTCCAGAAGAGTTATCTGGGAACGGTTTGAACCTGTTAGACCTGAGGAAGTGGACAGGGTCCTTAGGACTGTGAGCTCAGCCACCTGCTCTTTAGATCCATGCCCCTCCTGGCGTGTTAAAGCATCCTGGGGGGTGTTGTGTGAGTGGGTTGTAGCAGTGGTTAATTCTTCTTTGAATGAGGGGGTTGTTCCTTTACTTCTTGAAGAGGACTTGGTTCACCCCCTCCTCAAGGTGTCATTACTAGACCCCACCATGCAGGACAATTTTCATCCAGTATCTAATCTCTCATTTTTGAAGAAGGTGGTTGAGAAGGTAGTTGCACGACAGCTTCAAAGGACCTTGGATGAAGCAGATTATCTGGATCCTTTCCAGTCAAGATGCAGATCCAGGTATGGGACAGAAACAGCATTGGTCGCGCTTTTGGATGATCTCTGACAAGGGCAGGATGGGGGTTGTGCATCCATCCT